TAAATAAATGTTTATTATAGTTTTTCCAGAGTGACTTGAATTTTGCATGATTTAGTTCATTTATTAGATTGTTAACATCTTGCACTATATGTCTTTTACTTGAATTTTATATGCTTTGGTTGAGATTTTATGTTGATGTTAAATCTTTTAAGCCTTTTTTTGTTAAAGAATTGACTCCAGAGCGCATATTTTGTGTTCATGAAAAAACTATTAAAGAAAATATTACAATATTAAAAAAATGTTCTTGTTAATTTGATGAAAACATTTTAAATTTCCAGTGCACTCACATCAGAATAACTTATAGATTTGTTGTTAGAATAATCGATTAATCGAAAAAATAATCGTTAGATTAATCAATTAGAAAATAATCGTTTGGTACAGCACTACTTCAAAGTGAAAGTAAAAACATGGCGCTCCCGTCCAGAAAAGAAACTTAAACACAGCTGTTCTCTCTCCCCTCATATTCTGACACAAAGGGTAGAAACAGCTAAATTAGACAGTTAAAACACATTAAAAGTTAATAACTCACCCTTATTGTTGTTAGCACTTGGTCTCACAACATTAGCAGCCGCTCTCTCCCTGAGGGAGGGTCCGGCAACATACGCCCGCGTGACCCAAAGAATGGATCGGCTGAACGGACGGACATATCAGCCGATACCGATACAAGGGAAAAAACGCAAATATCAGCCAAAAATATTGGCCGGCCGATGTATCTGTCGACCCCCATTGCTAACAGAGCACTCAGGGATCAGTCTCAGTTACTACCATTAAGTCAGTAACTGTAAAACTGACTGAGTTTGATCCATTTTGGGGATTTTTAAGGGTGAAGTTGGATAGAAAGGGGATAAATAAACAGTTCATTCACCAACTGTTAGCAAAATTTTAACTAAACTCACAAAAGTAATCATTGATGACGTGACTGCGACAGATTAACCTTTGGAGTCAACCTGATTCAAGATGGCCACCACAGCTGAACCTCCACCATTTTTCCAGTTCTATAATCTTATCAGTAAGGCAGCATTAACTGCCTCATTGTTTGACTTGTAATGACGAACGAGGGTTAGAACTTGAACTGAGCCAACAGCCTGACTGTGAACTTGGCCTTTAATCAGGTGCATCCAATCTCTGCGTCACCTGGAGTACTCCAGCTCAGTTCAAGGTTCTGCATGAGTTGCGTAATCACCCATTGTTGACTCATCAGTGCTTATCAGCTGCGGTGGAATAAACTCAAAACATGGCCTTGATGTAAACCTGCGGGAGAAGGTTAGGTGTGTTAAAGCACTTGTAGTTAGCTGCTGTAATAAACATTACAATTATTAATATTTTTTATGCTTATATATGAGTTTTTTACTTTTCACACTTCTTTCCCATTTGAGTGAAATGTCTTCCTTGGAGATTTGGTTGATGAGCAATGCTTTTTTTTCTCACTGTGTGAACTCTGCACACTGGAGCTTGATGTGTCCATACAGACTCCCAATTGTCTTGACAGGACACTGCAGCCAGGCCATGGCCGGCGGTCAAACACTTTTCCTCGAGCAGACCTAGTTGCATAAAGTGAAGCTGACGTAAATTTGACGGCGTGGTAGTCAAGGAGGGAGGTGTCACTCCTAGGTTTTGTCTTATATGATTGCAGTGGGAACGGCTTATCCCTGATTTTAAAAATGTTGAGGATGTTGTAGTGAATTACTGATCTTGTCTGATGTAGGATTCTAGCTGTTAAACTTTTCTGGTTCATTTTTAAAAGTTTTTTTTTTGGATTTCTTGTTTCAGGACGTGTAAAATGTTTTTAATTATAAGTGTGGACTGCAGTTTAGCACCTGGACTCTTCTAATAAAGCCATGCTGTTGTAATGGATGCAGTGTGTGGTTGGGCATTGTTTATGCAAGGCCTTCTCTGAAAAATACAGCAGGATGAGAGCTTATTTTTAAAATTCTGTTTACACTTGTCTGCATCGATGGAGCCTTTCCAGATGTGTGAGCTGCTCATGTCCTAAACATTAATGTACCCTATATCATCAGAGAGGTACACTTACTGTTCGCTGATAATAAAGGGCTCGACACACGGGAGGCGACGTCGCTTGCTCTCCATTCATTTCCTATGGAGCCTGTGTGGTGAAGCGACAATCGCTTGCCCTCCTCCAGCTAAGCGACCGGTAAAAATAGTGCATGTGAAATTTCGCGCTCGTACAT